GACGTTTTGCAGAACATGTAACGAAAAGTGTATTTATTTGACAAAAAAAAACAAACAGGAGAGGGAAACATGGCTGTTAAAATATCAAGAGTTTGTATACAGCTCATCATTTTCTATCTGTGGCTATGTTTTTGTTTTTTTGAGGAGCACAGGGACTGGCCTCCAGCTGAGAACTAAACATGGAGAGGATTTTTGCAGCTAAAATCTGGAGCAGTCTTTCTGAAAATGTGAGACAGGCTTCTACTCTGACAATGTTCAAATCCAGATTAAAAACACATAGCTGTGCTGGAACTACAACTGAAGGATTCTCTCATTTTAATCTAGTTTCTTTCTTGTTTTGTTAACCCTTTAGGCGCCAAAGTAGCGGAATTGCTACACAAGCTCTTAAATACAGAACACTTCATACAGCGACTTTGCTTCCCACGGTCGTCTCTCCTCATTATTCTTTTTTTCTATGTGTTTCAATAGAAAACAAACAAATATTTTGTCTTTTTAACAATCCATTTCTCAAACAAACACCGCTGGCGCCTAAAGGGTTAAGTACTTTGAGTTGCCCTAGTGTATGAACTGTGCTACACAAAACTTCTTCACCACATTTTCTGTAGCTTTGGCTTGTCACAGCCAGAATTAAACGTCTTCATGTGTAAGCATCTCTCTGATCGCCCTGTCTCCGTGCCTGGGTGAGTTTGAAAGGAATCTCAATGTGACTAAACTGTTGCAGCAGCAGGAGCAGGAGCAGCGAGCGTGGACAGGATCTGCTCACTACAGTGGAACAAGGCCGAACACCCAGGAGCTTGTAAAACACAAAAGAATGCTCCTGAAAAAGCAACACGGCGCTCAGGCTGTCAGAGAAGGAGAGGGAGGGGCTCGCTTCACTTTCATCTCCGCCGCAGACGCTAATAACAGCAGGCACTGAACAGCAGAGAGACAGAGGAGGATAGAGAGAGACAGAGGAGGCTAGAGACAGAGAGAGAGAGAGGAGGCTAGAGAGAGACAGAAGAGGCTAGAGAGAGACAGAGGAGGCTAGAGAGAGGGAGAGAGGAGGCTAGAGAGAGACAGAGGAGGATAGAGAGAGACAGAGGAGGCTAGAGACAGAGAGAGAGAGAGGAGGCTAGAGAGAGACAGAAGAGGCTAGAGAGAGACAGAGGAGGCTAGAGAGAGAGAGAGAGAGAGGAGGCTAGAGACAGAGAGAGAGAGAGGAGGCTAGAGAGAGACAGAAGAGGCTAGAGAGAGACAGAAGAGGCTAGAGAGAGACAGAGGAGGCTAGAGAGAGGGAGAGAGGAGGCTAGAGAGAGACAGAGGAGGATAGAGAGAGACAGAGGAGGCTAGAGAGAGAGAGAGGAGGCTAGAGAGAGAGAGAGGAGGCTAGAGAGAGACAGAGGAGGCTAGAGACAGAGAGAGAGAGAGGAGGCTAGAGAGAGACAGAAGAGGCTAGAGAGAGACAGAGGAGGCTAGAGAGAGGGAGAGAGGAGGCTAGAGAGAGACAGAGGAGGATAGAGAGAGACAGAGGAGGCTAGAGAGAGGGAGAGAGGAGGCTAGAGAGAGACAGAGGAGGATAGAGAGAGACAGAGGAGGCTAGAGACAGAGAGAGAGAGAGGAGGCTAGAGAGAGACAGAAGAGGCTAGAGAGAGACAGAGGAGGCTAGAGAGAGGGAGAGAGGAGGCTAGAGAGAGACAGAAGAGGCTAGAGAGAGACAGAGGAGGCTAGAGAGAGGGAGAGGAGGCTAGAGAGAGAGAGAGAGGAGGCTAGAGAGAGACAGAGGAGGCTAGAGAGAGACAGAGGAGGCTAGAGAGAGACAGAGGAGGCTAGAGAGAGAGAGAGAGAGACAGACAGAGGAGGCTAGAGAGAGAGAGAGAGAGGAGGCTAGAGAGAGAGAGGAGGCTAGAGAGAGAGAGAGGAGGCTAGAGAGAGACAGAGGAGGCTAGAGACAGAGAGAGAGAGAGGAGGCTAGAGAGAGACAGAAGAGGCTAGAGAGAGACAGAGGAGGCTAGAGAGAGGGAGAGAGGAGGCTAGAGAGAGACAGAGGAGGATAGAGAGAGACAGAGGAGGCTAGAGAGAGGGAGAGAGGAGGCTAGAGAGAGACAGAGGAGGATAGAGAGAGACAGAGGAGGCTAGAGACAGAGAGAGAGAGAGAGGCTAGAGAGAGACAGAAGAGGCTAGAGAGAGACAGAGGAGGCTAGAGAGAGGGAGAGAGGAGGCTAGAGAGAGACAGAAGAGGCTAGAGAGAGACAGAGGAGGCTAGAGAGAGGGAGAGGAGGCTAGAGAGAGAGAGAGAGGAGGCTAGAGAGAGACAGAGGAGGCTAGAGAGAGACAGAGGAGGCTAGAGAGAGACAGAGGAGGCTAGAGAGAGACAGAGGAGGCTAGAGAGAGACAGAGGAGGCTAGAGAGAGAGAGAGAGAGACAGACAGAGGAGGCTAGAGACAGAGAGAGAGGAGGCTAGAGAGAGACAGAGGAGGCTAGAGAGAGAGAGAGAGAGACAGACAGAGGAGGCTAGAGAGAGAGAGAGAGGAGGCTAGAGAGAGAGAGAGGAGGCTAGAGAGAGACAGAGGAGGCTAGAGAGAGACAGAGGAGGCTAGAGAGAGAGAGAGGAGGCTAGAGAGGGACAGAGGAGGCTAGAGAGGGACAGAGGAGGCTAGAGAGAGAGAGAGGAGGCTAGAGAGAGACAGATGAGGCTAGAGAGAGAGAGAGAGGAGGCTAGAGAGAGACAGAGGAGGCTAGAGAGAGACAGAGGAGGCAGAGAGAGACAGAGGAGGCAAGAAAGAGAGAGGAGGCTAGAGAGAGACAGGGGAGGCTAGAGAGAGAGAGAGAGGAGGCTAGAGAGAGAGAGAGGAGGCTAGAGAGAGACATAGGAGGCAGAGAGAGACAGAGGAGGCTAGAGAGAGAGAGAGAGGAGGCGAGAGAGAGACAGAGGAGGCTAGAGAGAGACAGAGGAGAGTAGAGAGGGACAGAGGAGGCAGAGAGAGAGACAGAGGAGGCTAGAGAGAGACAGAGGAGGCTAGAGAGAGACAGAGGAGGCTAGAGAGAGAGAGAGGAGGCTAGAGAGAGACAGATGAGGCTAGAGAGAGAGAGAGAGGAGGCTAGAGAGAGACAGAGGAGGCTAGAGAGAGACAGAGGAGGCAGAGAGAGACAGAGGAGGCAAGAAAGAGAGAGGAGGCTAGAGAGAGACAGGGGAGGCTAGAGAGAGAGAGAGAGGAGGCTAGAGAGAGAGAGAGGAGGCTAGAGAGAGACATAGGAGGCAGAGAGAGACAGAGGAGGCTAGAGAGAGAGAGAGAGGAGGCGAGAGAGAGACAGAGGAGGCTAGAGAGAGACAGAGGAGAGTAGAGAGGGACAGAGGAGGCAGAGAGAGAGACAGAGGAGGCTAGAGAGAGACAGAGGAGGCTAGAGAGAGACAGAGGAGGCTAGAGAGAGACAGAGGAGGCTAGAGAGAGACAGAGGAGGCTAGAGAGAGACAGAGGAGGGTAGAGAGAGACAGAGGAGGGTAGAGAGAGACAGAGGAGGCTAGAGAGAGACAGAGGAGGGGAGAGAGAGACAGAGGAGGCAAAAGAGAGAGAGAGGAGGCTAGAGAAGGACAGATGAGGCCTCTGCAGCCACAGACAGCACTGATACTTGGGCCGGGCAATAAGTTACATTTATTCAATCAATGGGCGATATTTGAAAATTGAAAAATGTGAGAGATGTCAATATTATGAAATCAAAGCCAACAACAGATCGGAGAGTCAACATTTCAAACACAGGAAGTGCAATAATAACAAACACAGAGGAGTCATTGGTCCATAAGGAGCGAGTGACCAATGTCCATAAATGTCCTCAATCACCTCCTGCTTCGGCAATGAAAAACTCAAAAGTATTCTTATTATTCATTATTCACTCACTTATCCTGTGTTGTGTGCTCCTCATTCCTACTGTTCCTACTTAATCTTAATCTCAATCTCAACATTCTCCTTTAAAGCGTCCTGACTTCTGCCTCTCTGCTGAGAAACTGCACAGTCCCTGGAAAGCTGCACGATTTTGGCTCTCAGACTGTATGAAACCTGACCCCGAAAACGTTGGCCTAGATCTGCGCACATTCCACCTCAGCGTATATTTATACCCGGGACCCTTCCTCTCTCTCTCTCTCTCTCTTTCTCCCCCCCCCCCCCCCCCCTCCACCCACCCAGCCTGCCCTCCATGCCCCCGCCTCACCCCGCACTGGACAGGAAGTCTCGGGACCGCAGCTGATCAGAGAGGGGGAAACACAATGCTTTCAGTGTGCGAGAGAAAGTAATAAAGCACACGCCATTCGGACGGGACATGCTTTTACTATTAAGGCTGCGAGAGTTTTTTTTCCATATGACTTTCCCAGGAAAATCCCCCTCATCTGAGAAGGAAGGATCCAAGCAGACAGCGGCACAGACAGCACGGGCAGACAAAGGCCTTTTTGGGGCGTGCGTACCGCCACACGTCTTTGAACTGATATCGGATATCGGAGATTCAGGGAGTGATGTCATCGGTTCCAGAGATAGACATACAGTAGTTAACATGCTGATGTATAGCAATAATCTATAGAAGGATTTCACACTGGCAAAACAAAAAAATATTTGATCAAATTTCCCCACGCGCCATTTCCGGGTAGACTGTATGTTAATATGCAATCTAATGAACTTTATTTCAATAGGACATTTCATAAACACACAGTTTGCTCAGTTAGAGACTAATACATAATTATAAAATCCATGGAAAGACACTAAAATCATTAAAAGTCGAAAAGGATTAAATCAAATATATACGGATACTGTATACCAATATAACAATATAATAAGATGAGATAAAAGGACCATACAACTCACGCAGTGTTAAAAGCCAGAGCCTAAAAATGGGTCTTAAGACGAGACTTTAAACACTCTGCCGAAGGTGTTTGAATATGAGGCGTTCCCCTGTCAGTATGTAGAACAACTGAAGCAGGAATTTATACATTAGCTAAATCAAACTGTTTTAGAGGCCATTGCTAACATGTGGGTCAGCTGGAGAAAGTGGAGAAGGTGGAGAACGTGGGTCAGCTGGAGAAAGTAGAGAAGGTGGAAAAAGTGGGTCAGGTGGAGAAGGTGAGTCAGGTGGAGAAAGTGGAGAAGGTAGGTCAGCTGGAGAAGGTGGAGAAGGTAGGTCAGCTGGAGAAGGTGGAGAAGGTGGGTCAGCTGGAGAAGGTGGAGAAGGTAGGTCAGCTGGAGAAGGTGGAGAAGGTGGGTCAGCTGGAGAAGGTGGAGAAGGTAGGTCAGCGGGAGAAAGTGGAAAAGGTGGATCAGTTGGATCAGGTGGAGAAGGTGGAGAAGGTGGAGAAGGTAGGTCCGGTAGAGAAAGAGGAGAAGGTGGAGAAGGTGGAGAAGGTAGAGAAGGTTCTAAAACTACACACAAGTCACACAAGGAACAACACTGGTCGAGCCGTGGAACTAGAGTGAGACTCGACCGCCACAGTTTGTGCTGTTGCATGTGTTGCTCTTTCCTTTACAAAGTTGTTCTTGTCCAGACAGTGACATAAGACGCTCATTTTGTTTCCCTTTTTCCGCACATTTCTTTCCTCCTCGTGACGAAAAGCTGACACGGGTCCAAACAACTAGCCGAGGTTTCACACAAGCGGCCCAGGACAACAAGACAACAAGGTCCCGCGTTTTTTTTTTTATTGTCCATTGAAATCGGCATCGGCCACAGATTATTCATTATTATGTATTTGGCCCTTTATTCATATGGACATTCACCACGGTAAATAATAATTGTAAAGCGCTTTGTGACTCTGGTCTGTGAAAGGCCCTTTATTTTACATAATAGAATAGAAAAGGATATGAATATTTTCTGGATACTGCTTCCCAAACTGACACATGCACACTCTGATGACCTGGTTCAGTTCGGTCTAATCTCATAATAGCAACAGTTTCCACTTCAAAGAACAAATGATTCAAAAGTGTAGGTCATGAGTCAGTTCCGGGCCGCTCTGACGCAGTGTTGGGACAGGTGTTGTGGACTCATGCTTCATTATTAATAAGAGCACGTTATTAAAAAACATCATGATTTTTCACATCACACCACATCAAAAGAGTGAGAAACTTGGACTAAATGTGAGACTGAGCTCACAGCAGAGCGGGATAGAAACGTCCCAGTTCCACCAGCCCTACTCGGTTCTACTCTCCTTGACTCTACTCTCCTCTACTTGACTCTACTTAGCCCTACACTACTCGATTTCACTCTTCTCTACTTGGCCCTACTCTTCTTGACTTTGCTCTCCTCTACTTGACTCTACACTCCTCTTCTTGACTCTACTCTCCTCTACTTGGCTCTACTCTCCTCTACTCTACCGTTTGGGAGTGTTTCCACAGCTTCCTCTTTACCTGGTACCGACTCAGAGAATAGACAGCTCTGGTTAAGAACAAGTCTCTCCATGGCCTCGCTCCAGAGCACATCCATACCATGTTAGTGCCATATGAACCAACAGATACTGAGGAGCACAGGGACTGGCCTCGTGCTGGGATTCTGAGGAGCACAGGGACTGGCCTCCTGCTGGGATTCTGAGGAGCACAGGGACTGGCCTCCTGCTGGGACTCTGAGGAGCACAGGGACTGGCCTCTGACTCTGACTCTGGGGAACACAGAGACTGGCGTTTCAGATTTATGCAGCTAAAATCTGGAACAGTCTTCCTGAAAATGTGAGACAGGCTTCTACTTAGTTCAAATCCAGGTTAAAAGCAGTTCTTCACTCTCTTTGATATACTGTGATTATTATTTTAAAGCCTTCTGTGATTGTTTCTATATTCAGATTCATTTTATTTGCCATCAGCAGTAAAAAAACCACATTGGAATACATTTGCAAAAAAAGAAAAGGTATATTGTTTTGATAATAATGGACTCAGACTTAAATTTCAATAGCCACATAAAATCTGTAACATCAGCAGCTTATAACCACCTAAAAAACATTGCTAAAATTAAAAACATAGTGTCTAAAGGAGACTTGGAGATTCTTATCCATGCATTTGTCTCCAGTAGGTTAGACTACTGCAATGGCCTGCTCACAGGTCTGTCCAAACAGGCTGTAAAACAGCTGCAGTACATTCAAAATGCAGCAGCTCGAGTCCTGACTAGAACCAGGAAGTACGACCACATTAGTCCAGTCCTCAGGTCTCTGCACTGGCTTCCTGTGGCTCAGAGAATAGACTTTAAAACATTTCTGCTTGTGTACAAATCTTTCCATGGGCTCACACCGAGGTACATCCGCAACATGTTGGTGCCATATGAACCGACTCGGGCTCTGAGGAGCACAGGGACTGGACTCCTGCTGGTGCCAAGAGTCAAAACTAGACATGGGGAAACTGCGTTTCAGATTCAAGCAGCTAGAGTCTGGAACCGTCTTCCTGAGAATGTGAGACAGGCATCTACTCTGGCAGTTTTTATCTTTAATATTTTTAATGCACTATGACTTTATGATTTTAATCCCATGTGTGTGATTTTATTTTGAATGTTTTTAATATATCTTGTGCTCTTTTTTTATGTTTATGTAGATTCTAATGTTTGATTTATGCATGATGTGATATGGGTTGTGAGGCGCTTTGCGTTACCTTGTGTAGGAAAGGCGCTCTACAAATAAACGTTGATTGATTGATACGCACATGGAGTTGCCTTGTGTACGAACTGTGCTATACAAAAAAACCTACCTATTCTTTCAAGCCTGAAACTTGTTTTGCACGTGTCAGGTGCGAGTTTATTATTGTGTGAACCTTCAAAAAGCTATGATTTATTGTTTCTTCTCCCAGTTTTCGAAGGTCATCTGGTCCAGTCATGTTTTTTTGGGTGACACCAACTTCCACCGACTCTGCGTTTGTCCAAGACCTCCGCCGTGGGTCGCATTCACTAAAACTAGGTCACTTCCTCCTTCTGTGTGCGCTTCTAAAGGAACATGGGCCTGGTCCAAAAGAACTCCATGAGCAGAAGAGCGGGGGAAACATCCTCACAGTTGGAACTTTATCGAATGTATCAGTCACGCTGCATACTTACTGATATGTGAGCTCCCTATGCTCTGATTTCATGACACACGTTTTGTGGCTTTGTTTCAGCTGCAGATCTCCAGCCTTGGGACTAATACAAACACTACACAGAGACAAGATAGGCAAGGCATCTGCGTCTTTGAAAAAATGTCCAGAGAGTCCGACTGTCGCAGGTGAATCGCTAGAGTGTTCCCGAGTTTGGGGACAGAGTAAGTAAGTAAGTAAGTAATCTTTATTTACTGTATATACTGCATTTTTACAGACCAAGGTCACCCAAAGCGCTTTACAGAGTGGCTGAAAGCTCTGGGCCCCTTTGTGGCCATTTTGAGGGTGGGGAGAGTGATGAGAGCAGCAACCAATCAGGAGCTCACTAGACACCACCTACTTCCCAAAGGAGTCCAGTCTTGACCTGAAGACTTGAGGACATGGGGGAAGTCTGGTGTGCTCCTGCTTGGTTGGAAATAAAACCTGCAGCCACACCGGGTCTTTGGGGATGAGTTTGACACCCCTGATGAAAAATACTGCAGATTTGACGGTTCATATGGGTGATGCTAAAACGTTCTGATGTTTATTTATAAATGTTGAAATGGTTTATTCCCTGCACATCTGACAGAGCTGTTATCTCTGTCTGCTTCTGTCGGATCAGTGATGTCAGAAAACCAGCTTTTGTTGAACGAGTCCAGGTCTCATCTCAAAACTGGAGGAGACCGGGCCTTTGATGTTGTTTCTCCCAAACTGAGGAATAGTTACCTCTGTACATTAGAGCGGCTTCTTCAGTTTAGGTTTTTGAATCTAGTCTTAAAACATATTTGTGGCTCGGCTTTTAACACCAACTAAGTTCAACTGTTTAACATTTTACAGGTGTTTGTGTGTATCTCAAGATGTTTTCTTTTCTTTTCTCTATTGTGCATGTCAAGCAATTTAGCAGCTGGTGTTGTTGTTAATGTGTTATACAAATAAGGCTTATGCTGACACTGGTGAAGAGCCAGAAAAAGGCTGAAATGCAAATGATGAATAGACAATAACCAGAAACAATTAACAGCAGGAGGGTATGCTGTTGTTTGACTGGAAACGATTTTCCTTTCAGAGCAGAAAACAACTCTCTCCATGAAGTCATAGTCAAGGATCTATCATCACATGCAGTACAGAGTTTGAAGAAAGAGCATTTAGACAGAAGGGGTGGGGTTAGGGCTGGGTATGCTTAATGTGTGTCTAGATACAGGAGGCTTTTAATTGCGTTCGATTTGACTTATTTCAAAAGGATTCGATTTGGTTCAGTAAAAAATAAAAGCTTTGGGCCCCTTATATAAGATAGAACACTGCTGATGCATTTCGATTTCATTTGTCAAAGATGAATTGATATTAGTCAAAATATTATAAAACTATAAAAAAAATATATATGTTAAAAATCAGAAAACAAAGAAATTGGGGGTAAAAACATAAAATCAATATTACTGAATAAAAAAAATAATATTGTATTTAATATTTGGTGGTGCCACCTGCATGTCAAAGCCAGATATCAAACCTCTGAAGCTAAGCAGGGCAAGGCCTGGTTAGTACTATGATGGGAGACCTCTGGGAACACCAGATGCCACAGTGGGGCAGCTGCGTCTAAAAACTGTTGTAGTGACCTTAGGCAAGACACTTCACCCACATTGCCTCCTAGAATGAGTCTGGTGTGTGTGAAGTGTCATCGTGTCTAAAAAAAGGCACACCTCTGTCAAAACTTCTTTGTGACAGAAGTTGCTGATCAATAACGGAGGAAAAAAAGGCCATATTTGTCATATATCCTTCAGATCACAATTAATCTCTTATTTCATCTCAAAATAGAAAAAAATATATATTCTTGCATTTTTTGACCTTTAAAACAATGGTAGCAGAAAATGACCCTGCAGAACGCCTGAACAAAACATAGATTTGAGAGCGACAATGTTATTAAATAGAGACCCAAACATTTCTAATATTTAGTTTGTATTGATTGCTTTGTCTGCGTGTCACAGAGATAACAGAAATGTGTTGGTATTTCTTTGCCAGACAAGTCTGAAGTCTCAAGGGCCTGTTTGGGTCTCGGCCCCGTCGTGGAGCTCTGTGAGTTCAGGTCAGTGAGACACGGAAAAACCATTAGAGCTCAGAGGGGAGCCGCCACATCGCTCTTGCGCTCACGCCACATAGACGACATTTACTGAGACCAGAAACTAATATACGTGTATCTGTCGTGCCAGTCAGCAGCAACACTGAGTTAGCATATGTAGCAACAACGTAGGGCTGGGCAATATGGCTGAAAACTATATCACGATATAAGTCATTCATATCGGTCAATAACGATATATATTGAGTTTTTTTTTTTTACCTAAATAAATATATTTGTGGGCTAACCAACCTTAGCAGCCTTGTTTACAGTCACGAGGCGATGAGGCTGGAGGAATATGTTCACACTGTGTCCCTCGTTGTTAGTCCTGGTTTATTCCTGGTTTTGCTCCTGGTTTAGCTGTTTTCGAGGGTCTTGTGTCCCTGTGACCGCTCCGTGCGGCTCCCTGTACCACACATGCTTCCCGAGGAAAAAGTTAATCTCTTGCTTTCGCCGAATACATCGTGTCTGTCCACTGCCTCTGCCGCCGCACATGTTATTCCGCGCACGTACGTGCATAACCATTGACACGGCATTGAAACACGAGCTATAGATCCATGGACGCCACGCATGGTGCGGTTGTTGGTGTTTTTGCATTTCCCAGAAAGTTTGGCGGTTCCTGCTCGGCTGTTATTGGTCGAGAAGCCTCTGCCTACATCCCCCACAATGCCATGCGCTTATGAGTCGGCTTTACTTCCGGTGTTTTCTTCCTGTTTTCCTGACGGAGTTAAGTTAAACTATCGAACATTCTATCGACCCCATTCTCTATTGATATCGAACACAGGTCTATCGCGATATATATCGTTATTGTTTTATCGCCCAGCCCTACAACAACGGACAATAACAAAGCAAAAGTTGATCTCAAATAACATTTAAATTGGGGTGGCATGGTGGCTGAGTGTGTAGCACTCTCTCAAGAAGGTCCTGGATTTGAATTCCGGTCGGAACAGGGTCTTTCTAAGTGGTGTTTGCATAGGTTTCCGGGTGCTCTGGTTTCCCCTACCACTAAAAATATGTACTACAGGTAAAATCCTCCGGTTCTGGTAGTCCTGACCAAGCCTAACCAATTCCCGGGCGCTGTACTACGGTGACCACTGATAGATGCCCTAGTGGCATCAGGTAGGGCATCAGGATGGATGAATTGCCCTATGGGATAAATATAGTGTACCTTTAACTTTAAATCAGGCTGGTGTGGCTTCAGGTTTTCTTTCCAACCAGGCAGGAGCACACCCAGACTCCACCTATATAACCCAGGTCTTCATTGTTAAGACTGTAAGGAAATGGGTGGAGTGCGATGTGCACCTGTTTGGTTGGAATGAAGACCTGAAGCCACACAGTGAGGGCTTGACACCTGTGATTTAAAGAGACAGTATGTAATAAAATATGCACTGTCAGTGGTGTAATATACAAATACAATCACACTTTGGTTCCCAGTATCTATCTGCCCGTGACACATGTAGCTCTTAAGCACTGATTACTGATGCAATCCACCTGCTGGAGTTTAGCTAGAAATAGAACAAACTCTGTGTGTCACCTAACATACTGACAACGCAAATGAGAGCTCCCTGTTTGAAAAAATGATGCACATTATTCTATGCACAGTGGTCTGCTCCCTGTGGACCAATGGCTCCTTTGTGTTTGTTATTATTGTATGTCCTGTGTTCGAACTGTGTTTTATTCTCTGATCTGTAAAGAACTTTGTAAAATCCTCTGTGACGACTGCTGTTGTGATTTAAGGCTAAATAAAAATCATCCATCCATCCATTTTCTTCCCCTAAATCCATGTCTGGGTCGGGGGGGTGGCAGTCAGAGCTGCACCCAGTACACTTAGCACCAGCCCCTCACTGATCCTCCTGCAGGTGGTGAGTCCACAGGGGCTGAGATCTTTCAGTGGGGGCTTCAGGCAAAGTTGCTGTCGTTGTGTCCCCAAGGACGCAACGACAGCAGACATCAGTGGGAGTTGTGAAGTAGGTCTATGTAAAAGAAGAGAACGCATATTTTTGTGACACGTATGATGCTTTATTGTAAATGAGAACACGCCTCAGAGAGACATGTGTGAGTCAGAACCAGTCGAGCCAGTGTCCGTCTGCACGCTGCTCCCAGTGCATCTCTGTGCACTGCTGTTCAGAACCCAGATCCTTTACGGCGGAATGTAATGAATGAGTAAGAGGAAAGTAAATTTTCCATTCAGAGTGTATACAGTATTTCTGACTGAGCATGGGACATCCTGGTCGGAACAGGGCCTTTCTGAGTTGAGTTTGCATGTTCTCCCCGTGTCCGCGTAGGTTTCCTCCGGGTGCTCCTGTTTCCCCTACCTCTAAAATCATGCACAATAGGTATGAATGTCAAGAAGAGAGTGAATGGATGGTGCTGGTTGGGGACTCTGATGGTCCAGTGTGTTCGGCGACTCGCTTCCATCATCACCGTGTGTGGAATGATTGGAACAATATCTGAACTCTGAACATTGTAGCACTTTGGGTGACCTCTGTCTGTAAAATCTGCTATATAAAAAAACAAGACCATTGTCTATTTCACATTGTCGATTTTATAGTGCATTGATGGGACCCCTGAACTCGGCCTCTTTGACCTGTACCTCTGAACTGGTCGCTCCCAGCCCGGACTTGTGGGTTGCCCCCCCATTCATTTATTGTATTTCCTGTGTTTAATTCTCTGATCTGTTGTTGTTGAATCGACAACTTTGTATAGTCTTCTATGTGGGAGTGGGATAGTCAGCTACATTCTGATATGACATTAAAGCAGTACAATATTAAAGAAGGCATAGTGTGTAAAGGGCAAAGGGTACTTCTTCAATACCTGCTCAGGCTTGGTTCTATCCAGGCCGAATTGGTAAAAAGGATTCCAACTGACAGTAATTGGCTCTTCTTTTTTTTTTGTGCTGCTGGAAGCCATAGTTATCAAGAAATGTCCACAAACAAAGGTTGCTAGGATACGGTACCAGATCCAAAACCGTAATGGAAAGGCAACCAGGTAGAGTAGTAGTAGCCAAGTAGGGCTGGTGGAAACAGGGCGATTGAGGTTGAGTTATATCATCCTCATGTTTTGACTTTTAATGGAAGAGTTTGTGATTTGAGATTCCGATAACCCCCACGATGACATCATAGTACCTTCTCATTTCCCTAAAACACTTTTCTCTCTTTTCCTCCAAAGCAGCTGTGTGTGAATGCTGCTCTCTCTGAGGCACATGACCGCTGTTAGGCGAACCAATGTGACGGTCAGCAACGGCAGAGGCGCCCGGAGCCTGAGTCATGCTGTCTTACTCCTACAAGAATAACTACAATCTCAGGATACATACATACGACCTACATGGACCACACAGAGAGGAGGACGTAAAGGCGATGTCAGAGACTTCCAATTAATTTCTCATTGGTGAGGAATACATATTTATCATTGTGTATGAACCAGTATTTGTCATAATAATTGTTTAAAACACTCTTTCCTCGGAATATGGCTGGAGGAGAATGGATGGACCAATGTTGAGCTGTCTGTCATGAGGATGAAAAACTCCAAACTGCAAATATAATAGATTTAATAAATGCAAAAACAAAATAAAAATCCAGAATGAACAACAAAAGGTAACCAAACAAGCATCGAGGACAAGAACTAAAACAGACGTGGAATGACAGTGACGGAGCTCGAAGTGAGAAGGGTTTATCAAATTCCAAAGCTAAATAGGAAATAAACTTAAACCATGACACTGTGTCCCAGGGATTTGAATTCACAGCGTCCAATCAGGAGCCAGTGGAGGCGGGTCTTATGGTGCTTGAATTTGAAAAGAAGTTTGAAGAGTAATTGACCTTCACTATAAGGACACGTTTCTTCAAACTGTGAGAGCTGAGAATCACTGACCCTCACTGACCCTCACTGACCCTCTCTGTGTCCAAGACGTTTCACAAAAGGGATGTTCACTTTTGGAAGCGTACAATATTTTATTTCTTTGACCTTTATTTATCCAGTAAAGTCCAAACAAAATCAAAATCTCTTTTCCCGAGACAGGGGCAAGAGTCGGGTCAGGAAGGCTGTTATGGGCGAATATTGTACGTGTTTCAAGTGGTAGTGGAAACAGGAGCACCTGGAGGAAACCTACGCAGACACAAGGAGAACATGCAAACTCCACACAGAAAAACTTAGAGGAATTGGAATTGAAAACAGGACCTTGTAGCTCTGATGCACAAGCGCAAACCACTGTGCCATCGTGCCGCCCCTTTATGTTGAAGCAGGACATTTAAAATAGTCAGTGCTATGAACTTAGACAATGATGAAAAGTAAAAGTATCATGAAAAGTATAAATTACATATACATTTAGTCCATTTTGTCGACTAAAAGGGAGCTAAACTTTTTAATACCTCAGCCCCAAAACAGACCAAAAACAAACCCTAGAATGTGCACACACGAGTTATAGCGGCCTTTAATGTGGATTCTTCCAGGATTCTATCAGTGTGAAATAATGAGATGACCCTGTTGCTCTGCTCTCTGCCCCTGAAGCAGTTTCATGGATCCAGTTCAGAGCTGCACTAGAAATCATACATCTATTATGTGTTTATTCCAATAATCATCCTTCATCCTATACTTTGCATTGAGATTTGACGTTCTCCCTTCACTGCCAGATGTTAATATTAAAACTTGGCAGCACATGCGTCTCTAAAACCAGCTTTGCAACTCAGTTAGAATGAATGAATGAAGTTATGACAAATAATCTCACCACGTGAAAGAAAACACAACAAACCAAATGGAGTCTTTACATTTCCTTCTGGTGAGGAAAAGGAACTTCCTGTTGGACCGAAACAATTGACCATTTTCACAATGGCGCTATATCCAGGCCACACAAATACAAGAAAACTCTGCACTCTCGACCTACTACTGTCAAAGAGAAGATAAAAGTGAGTTATTCATCTGGTAAAAAACCTGTCTACTGAGCGTTTCTGTATCAATGACCTAAATAGTAGAAAATA